TTGGTCTGGGTCCCTAGAGACTCGCCTGGAACTGGAGCTCAGAGCCTGAGACTCCCTCCCGATTGAAAATGACAACTGTGCCCTCAGCCGCCAGCCCACTCTGTGTGCGCCTCTGTACCTTAGTATTTTACTTCCGCACTGCGCCTCCTCTGAGTCTCAATATCCTTTTCTCTTTCCTTCTAGTTGTAGAATTTCCACTCAGCCAGCCTTACTGTGGTTCTGGATGATGTCCATTCCATCTTTTAGTTGTATTTTTGAAGTGGTTATTCGAGGCAGCAAACTCCGGTGTTTACCTATGCCACCATCTTGGTTTCTCCCTTATTCTTCTCTTCGGAAAATCATTAAAATTCTGAGCCTCAGTTTCTTCCTCTAAAAATGATGAAACTAATTCCTCCCTTGCCAGGTTGTCTTAAGCATTAAATAGAATTCAGGGTGGAACTTTGAAGAAGGTACAACTCTATGCATAGAAAAGCTATGTGCTTTTGTTTTGATGTGTGTTTTGTGAGTTCTTATCCATGCTTCACCTCTAGCACAGGATGCCAGCTATTTGTAAACATTAAAATCAAGTCCATGACCATAAGGTCTTCACAAGTTTGAGTTCTCAATGCCCTCAGAGGCTGGTTACCTATTTAATTTTGTTGCCCTCTCTTCCCCATCCCACCCCCCAAAAATGGCTGTAGGATATCAAGCTAATTGCTGCTGGGAAGGAACACAGATTAGGCCAGTGGTTCTCAACCTTCTGGCCCTTTAAATACAGTTCCTCATCTTGTGACCCAACCATAAAATTATTTTCATTGCTACTTCATAACTGTAATGTTGCTACTGTTATGAATCATAATGTAAATATCTGATATGCAGGATGGTCTTAGGCGACCCCTGTGAAAGGGTCGTTCGACTGCCAAAGGCGTCGTGACCCACTGGTTGAGAACTGCTGGGATAGGCCATATAGACTTTCTCTCTTCATTCCTCAGTATCCCAATTTTTTCCTGTTGGCTCCAAAGCTAAGCATCTCTCTATCCTGTCCAGCCCCTCCCCCTACCCAAAAAAAACCCAAAAATTATTCTCTGAAAAGCAAAAGTTATCTTTATGTATTTTTTAATGATATGCTAACACATAGTTCTTATAAAGTCTTTTTTTTTAAATTATTTTGCCCTAGACCATCTCATTGTTGTAATATTTACTGGACTTCTAAACACACATGAGGTTGGCTCTACTGTAAAAAAAAAAAAGCAACAAAAAAACCCCTTTATTAACTAAATAATTTCATCACTTCATCCTGGCTTGGACTGGCTTTCACTTCCGTTTCATCTAGCCAGTGTTGCTTCTCGTCCTGAAAGTATCTGTATGCCAAATGCATTTTTGTGGCCAATTAGCAAGCATTTATCCATAACGAATCTTGCTTCTGAGAATAGTTGAGTTATTTCACCCAAAAATTCTATTTGTCCTCTTCCTCTATCTTTTCTTGGCACTATGAATAGGTTTAATTCCACTACGAATGAGTTTGACTAGTTTCCTAGGAAGGCAGGTTAAACCACCCACATGTGGTTATATGGATCTTATGAAGCAGAGTCTTGTGAACCTAAAGATGAAAGAGCAGGGGGAGCAAAAAGAAAAGGTCTTGCCTATACCAAGCACCTTCAACATGACAAGCTCTAGTCTAAGCACATTAAACTTATTTCCTCATTAACTTAAACTCTGCTTTACACCCCCAGACCCCGCAGGCTTCAATCTTAATCTCTCGTAGCAGGTCCCCACCTTTGGCTGCACTTACAGTGGAAATTCCATTTTGCTGGACAATTCATCCAGGGAATCACAGAGCAAAGGGTTTATTTTTTAAGGACACAAACTGAAGTCTCCATCACTCAAGCCCTAGCAAAAACGTATGCACTAACACTGACTGGCCCCCTTGAGCAGATACTATGTAAATATATGCCGGACGATCAGTTGCATCACATCTTGTTGAATAGTTAAATTGCTGACTTTGCTAGGATGACTCTGACTCCACTCAAAGTCACCCAAAGAGCTGGAAGGGCCCTTGTAGGTTATCTAATCTATTATCCATCGCCCCACTTTAGGCATGAGAAAATTGAGGGCAACCTGGCAAATAGGCAACCCCATAACTTTTCTACTTTCCTCTGCATCTGCAGATACTTAAAGGGGTAGAAAAATTCTTATAATCCATCATCTAATATTTTTAGGTCTTCTATTTAATCTCCTATTAAAACCTATTCTAGTTGTTTATATTGACTTACCTAGTTGTTTCGTTGATTCTGGGGACCACTCCATACCTTGTTCTGAGCAGAACTGAGATGCATCTAAAGCACAGCAGCATTCCAACAGCTAGAGAGCAAAGCTGGCCCGGCCTGTCCCTTAGTTGAAACCACAGTCATTCGAGCTCAGCCTCAGGGCTTGGCCCTTCACAACACTATTTCCATTCTTCAGGGACATTCATCGAATACTACTATGCAGAGCTCAGGAGTAAAGAGGAAGCAAAGATTGTGGGCTTCTCTATGTCTTTACAGTAGAGAAGTTGAGCCTAAGCTAAGCACATCATTTCCTCATTAATTTAAATGGCAGTACAGAACCCCTGTCATAACTCTTGGGCTTGCGAGCCTATTTTCCAAAAGTTTCCTCGTTGAAGGAGAGAGGAGTCACTCACTGCTTGTTTAAGACAAGGGTCATTATGTGTTAGAGAAGAGAAATATGCTGAAGCTATTTCAAAAGCACCCGGGGGTTCCATGGGAAGATCTAACATGATGCAAACTCACAGAAAGCCGAACACTTGAACTCAGATAGCTCTCCCAGGGCTGGAGCTGAGAAGCTGAGAATTTCAGCTACTCTTTCTGTCTCTCAGTCCACAGGTGGTCTCTCTGAACTCTGCTTCTCGCAGGCACCAGCTATCTTCTCTGGTCACGACCCAGCTCCACACCCACGGCCCAGCTCCACATGACTCCCAGGTAAGCATTTAATATCCTAGCACTGCTGTGTCTCTTCATTCGCGGTACAATGATTTACCCTGGGTTATGTGTCTTTCTCTGGTGCAATCAGCAATGGCTGGAGAATGGTGTTGAAGTACATATGGCAGACAAGTCCAGGACTTGGGTAGGAACTGATTAAACTAGAAGGGAAGTTGGCATGGAAACTGATTGTTACCCTTGATGCAACAGTATGAATGGATTTTCTGAGACCCGTCATTATGGTTTCCTCCTCCCCTCTTGCCTCAACTTCTCCTTTTCCTAAAATACCAGAGGATGAGAGAATCAGGAATAGCCCAAAATAAGATTTGGAATTTCTCTAAATAAACAATACATGTATGACTCGGAAAAAGAATAGAAATCTGTTTCCCCTAACACATGAGCGTGCGCACAGGTGCATGAGCGCGCACACACACACACACCCCTCACCTATCACAAGGACTTAGCATATACAAACACATTTGTAAACACTCAACAAATATTCACTGAATGAAAAGTGAGTGAATGAATAAATGAACAAATAAAATGTGTATGTTTGTGTAGATGTGAGTTCCTGTAGGCAGTAGTATCACAAAATCCTAAAGAAACATTTTGCCCATGTGTAATTAACTTGTCATCCTTCCATTAGTGTAAGTGAAAAGCATCATAGAATAAAGAACATGGATTCTAGAGAGAGACTTTCTGAGTTGGATTAGTGTGATCTTAGACAATTTACTTAACTTCCTTGTGCCTCTGGGTCTTCATTTAGAGAACGGAGATGAAAGTACAAGGATTAGCCAATAACGATGGATGGAATTGAAGGAGCAATAAAAAAAACTCCCAGCAAACAAACACCCTGGGCTGGACAGCTTCACAAGGGAGTTTTACCAAACATTCAAAGAACTAGCACCTATCCTCTTCAAACTATTCCAAAAAATCCAAAAGGAAGGAACGCTTCCAAACTCTTTTTCTGAGGTTCTCAATATAATAAAAACCATACAAATCTACAGCCAACATCATACTCAATGGGCAGAAAATAAAACCATTTCCCCTAAGAATAGGAGCAAGATACGGATTTCTGCTCTCACCATTTTTATTTAACACTAGAGACTCAGTGCATGAATTCATGCATGGGTGGAGTCTGGTCAGCCGGCCCCAATCCAGTTGGGCCCAGCCAGCTGGGGGGAGGGGCCTCAGCCAGTTGTCGGGCTGGCCCCACCCCCTGATCAAACTCCCAATTGAACTCCCAGTCGAACTTCTGGTTGAGGAGACAATTTGCATATTAGCCTTTTATTATATAGGATAGTACTGGAAGTCCTAGCCACAGTGATTAGACAAGAAGAAATAAAATGCATCCAAATTGGAAAGAAGGAAATAAAACTCTCATTATTCCCAGATGACATATTGTACATAGAAAACCCTAAAGAAAACCGTAAAGATTCCACCAAAAAGCAACTAGATTTAATAAATGAATTTGGTAATCTAGCAGGTTACAAAATCAACACCCAAAAATCAATGACCTTTTTATATACCAATAATGAATTCTCAGAAAGAGAAACTAAAAAAAAAAAAATCCCATTTATCATTGCAACAAAAAAATTAAGAGACATGGAAGCATGGTCCAAACTGATGAATCTCAGAGGGACAGGAAGAGATTAATCAAAGAATTTATATGCATACTAGAGGCCCAGTGCACAGATTCATGCACCAGTGGAGTCCCTCAGCCTGGCCTGCGGGGATCGGGCTGAAACCAGCCCAGTGCACGAATTCGTCCAGGGTGCATTCAGCCTGTCCTGCCCAGTCCCGATCAGCCAGATCCCAGTAGCAAGCTAACCTACTGGTTGGAGTGTCTGCCTCCTGGTGGTCAGTGTACATCATAGTGACTGATCGAACGGTTGAACAAACAGTTGGACACTAAGCATATTATGTTTTTATTATATAGGATACTCACATTTATATACAGGTGCGTATCTGTGACCTTATAGGATATAATAAGGATTAGTCAAGGAACCAGGTGAGGGAGATAATTATAAAAGCAACTAGCCCAAGAGGTTTAAATTTTTTTTAAAATGCTACATAAAAGTACCCATAAGTTGATAAGAAGTTAATTCTGCCTGGGAATTTACCCCTGTATGGCTCAGAAATGTCAAATATTAGGAAAGTTTGCCAGGTTGTACAAGAACTGAAGTCAAACGTGCATTGACATGAGCCCATTCATAACATGAAGCAGAGGTGAGAGGCCAAATGGAAGTGGCAAAGGCAGTTTGTAAATCCTGACCTAAGAATCAGAGGGCCTTGTCTATGAGGTTCAGGTTGAATTTGATCCAAAGAAAATAATACATTCCTCTCCAGTTAGCATTCTGGGTAGAGCTACTTTTGGCCAAGACAAGCCAGGTGTTAAAATGAATGAACAACACTTCCTGGCCAAGGATAATAGCTAGCATTGCCCTTTCCCAAAGCTCCATCTCTCACAACCTCACACAGCCTTTCCTCGCCCCATTTGTTCAGCAAATTCCAGTTGCAGCCATTAGCTGTCAAGAGATATATTGATCCGGGAGGTGATACCTGTGGAGAAGCCCTTTCTCATCTCCCCATAGGCATACAATGACATTGTCTCAGGTCTCCTCAAATGTAGCTGAGTTCTTTACTTTCTGCATGGAGGCCATGGAGGTCAGAAGAAATTACCTTCCTTCGACCAAGCTCTCCCTGTTGGGCTTCTTCATGGGGTTCCAGAGTGAAGTTTGTATAAATAAAGACTGACTTTCCAGTTGATTCTCAAAGTCATTGCAGGACTGCTGCATTCTCATTGGGTATTGATCTGCCATGAGCATTTGCTCTGAGTGTCTCGTCTCGAGCTTCAAAGCTCCGCCAGGGTCTGAAAGAAGAAACCGCAGTCTAAGAACTGCGCATTTAATAGAGGCAGAGCAGAAAATGAGTTGGTTTTGAGAAAAAGTTGTGAACATTGTTACAAAGCCTGACTCAAAAACAAATTTCATGTAATGAAAACAGCATGGCTTCCAGAAGTCAACACGCCAGCGCTGTCCATCACCTGGATGTGTGGTTTAGCAAATCCATGCCTCAAAGGGCTAAAATGAAAATCAATCAGACAACCTTTGTAATGTACCTAGCTCAGTACATGAACCAAAAGTTTGTCTCTTTCTCCTTGTCTCTCTTTTCATAAAGGAAATATTCAGCAGAAACCCAAGACCTACAGAATGGAGATGTGGCTGTGGTGTGAAATAGGGCAAATGTGGTAAATTTCCATGCATTCCTCATTCAAAAAAATCTTCATTGCGGTCACCTCAAGGTTAGGTTCCTACTCAGTGGTTTTTCAGGGGTAGTATCGGATGTTCTGAGGTATACCAAACTTTAAAAAACAGACATGGATTCTACCCTCAAGAAGCTTCAAGTCTCATACATGCTAAAAGATGAAAGATGGCCCTAACCGGTTTGGCTCAGTGGTTAGAGTGTCAGCTTGTGGACTGAAGGGTCCCAGATTCAATTCCAGTCAAAAGGCATGTACCTTGGTTGTGGGCACATCCACAGTAGGGGGTGTGCAGGAGGCAGCTGATCGATGTTTCTCTCTCATTGATGTTTCTAACTCTCTATCCCTCTCCCTTCCTCTCTGTAAAAAATCAATAAAATATATTTTTAAAAAAATAAAAGATGAAAGATGTATATTTAAAGCAGTAAAGTGCCTGTCAGGTCATAATTTGTGATCTACCAATAATTGCTTAGGAGTTTCAGAAAATGAGAAATGATAGGCAGTTGCTACAGATGAGGAAGGAACAATGGGCTGGAAATAGAGACACACAGGGAATGTGACAGGGCCTGTAAACTGTCCTGAAAGGACTGACTTAGGGTCACTGATAAAGCTTCCGGCTAGAAGGAGTGCATAAAACCACAGCCCAGATTCCACGTTTTGAGGACCTACAATAAGTCGTGTTGTACTAAACACTTTTCGAACATTTTCCCATTAGTCTTCCCCTAATACTTCAAGGAAGATGCTATATCTCCTGTTCACAGAAGAAACTGACTCTGAAAGAGTACAGGACTTGCCCGAGGTCACACGGGAGCTGAAGCTAGAATTTGAGCCAAATTTGTCTGAGTCTTAAGTGCCTGCCCTGAATTGCTGTGTTATGCACAGAAGAAAGAAAATGCAGGATGTGGACAGCAAACAGGGAATAGCCCAACCTGACTGGAGTTTTAGTCTTTCAACATAAACAAGAAGAGACACAAGAAGAAAGGATTGGGGGGCAGAGGGTGGAGGGGCCTGGAGGAAACCTCCAATGTTAGCTTCAGAGTTTTGGCCTTTGTTTTGTATTTCACAATGAATTTAGGAAACAGACCCCAGAAAGATAGTCCGTCTGTTTTCCATCAAGGAAGGCTTGACGCACAAAGAGAAACAATGAGTAAGGGTTCTATAGCGGGATTTTTCTATCAGCAAATGGGTCAATCAGTATGGGCTAGGGTAGGCTCCATTACAAACAACCGCAAAATATCTGTGGTTTAAAACAATATTTTTGCTCATATTGCACATCCACTGTACTATGAATGTTTGCTGAATGACAGTGTATGGCACTGGGTAGCAGCAGTATTAATAAAATTAAAAAGCTAAAACATCCTTTTATCATCTCCCAAAGGGTTTTCTCAGAACTTTTAGCACTTTTTCTTTCCTTTTGAAGTCTTTTAAGAGAGTATTTTTTGATGCAAGAGATGCATCATAAGCACCCCTCAGCCCCCATACATTACTGAGATGGGAGGTTCTTTAATGCATTTAGTGGCAAAGGTTGTCATTTAACAAGCACTGATGGAGCACCTACAATGTTCCTGGCTCTTCACCAAGACCTGGGATGCAAGGATGAGTACAGATAAAAGGCCCTCAGGTAGAGAATATCTCAAGTCAACAAACTGAGCACCATGACTTCAAGGATACTATGACCCAGTAGAAAAGAAAAGACATTCCCCAATAAGCATATTAGTACCAGATGTATATA